TCCCAGAATTCCCTAGCCAGCTGGCTGGGGAATTCTGGGAGTTGAAGTCCACCCATCTTAAAGTTGCCAAGGTTGAGGAACCCTGCCCTAGAGTTTAAACAGAAAGGACTGAGTTCATTGTAATGGCTTATTTGCTGGTGGATATGGTCCTTTCAGGAAAATAATACTGCAGTACTTGTAATCCTAGTTTCCATTTTTTCCCGCATGTAACAGATGCATCGCTCCTGGAATATTTACCATGTATACATAGGGAATAACTGGTGTAAGTGAAAGAAAAAGTTTAGGATTCTATTCTTTTTCCATTGTGTATCCAGTTTAATACAGAAGAGTCAGAGCGCTGGTACTTCAGTGCCAAGTTGCTCGTGAGCGGTTTATGTGATTACAGCCTATTTGCTTATTAGCACAGACATGCATTATCTAAACTGGCTTCTCTCATAGAATTGGGAATGACTGGAGAGGAAATGGTATTTGTAAGAGAGCCTTCTACAGCTCAAAAGGAGGTGTTTTACACCATGTGAATTCCACATTCCAAGTGTTCCTGTGAGAATACTTTTTCATTGGTGTATACTTTTACCTTAATCTAAGAGTTCTCAAAGTTTGACGAGACCCCTAAAATAATAGATGAATTGGTGCGACTTCTCCCCCATGAATAAAACTAATAATTTCATTGGAGTTAGGCGCGTACAAGAAATTACCACATTTTAAATAATTACATTTTAATCTATGTAATGATAGAACCTTCAACTTTATAAAATAAAACCTTTTCCTTGGAAATAAAAAAGTATCCATAATTTTTAATAAGATAAACGTGTTTAGTTTTGCATGATTTTTCAAAAAGTTTGGGTTTTAGTTTTGAGATAGCAACTCTTAATTTCTCAATCCAATTTATTTTGGATCAATATTTGCTATTAATAGCAGCTATAGAAGAACTTGACTTGACTGCTGGCTTGTCCAGGTACAACAAGAGCAAACTCTAACAGTGATGGCGCACATGCCCTGAAACCTGTGCAACCTAAGCTGGAGCCCTGTCAGAACTTCTTTAGGCTTTAGTTGGATAAGCCAACTGCCTGCCTAGCAGAAGAGAAGGTAGTAGTGCCAACAATTAGCTTTATGTGTCTTAAGTCAGGCTCCAACTTTGCTGTCTGTTTTGCTCGGACTAGCTAGCTGCTGGCTCATCCAGGCAGAGTGGGAGCAAATTCTGATACTGACTTTGGTTTGGGGCATTCAAGCTATACCCTGTAGGTATCTGCTCTAGGCTTTGCTGGGTCAACTGGCTGCCAGCTTGTCTGGACAAAGTGGGAGTGAATTCTAACAGCAATCCAACTTCATTTATTTGGTTGATTTATATAGCCATCCTCTCAAGAATGATTCAAGGTGGCACACAGATAAAATCGCAAAACACTAAGAAGTAAATATTCCGAATATCATAGAACATAAAACAAATTCCACTGAGGCAATTCAACAATGGAACAATCATACCAGAAATCCTCCTGACCTGTGGAAAAAATGGGTCTTCAAAGCCATTCAAAAGGAAGGCAGGATTAGGGCCATTTGGATCTTGGTGGGTGGGAGGGAATGCTATTCCATTGGGTGAGCACAGTGACTTACTCTTTGTCTAAAATGTTATGCTTATATTTAGGGGGAAGGTAACAATCTCATATTTTCGTTGTTGTTTCCTGCATACATAGTATTCATTTGAACATTTATTTAATTACAGTTTAATTTTCCATTTTTTCCCACTGATACCCAGCTGAGAATTTTGAGAATGTTCACAGAAGTCAACATTTAATTAAATCTATTAATCATGTGAAGTTCCCTTTTCAGCACTTAGTTTCATTCTGAAAGAGAGGATCACTCTTATTACATTGGCTAGGTTCATATAACACACTTGGCAAAAACATGGCTGGCTAGTTTCTGCCTCAGTATGTTGTGTCAAACCATCCTTAAAGATTTGGCACAACAAACATCCTCATGGGTTTTCTTCCGTTTCGCTTGGATAAGCCAACATCTTATCCAAGCCAAACAGGATAAGAGTGAGTCTGATGGCAATCCAGCTTTGCTGGGCAAGCTTAGAATCATGTGATGAAGTGACATAAAAACTTGATTAAATAAAGGCTGGCTGGCTGACTGGCTAGGAATGGTATTTAGCAAATCCATTATAAGGCGGGCAGTAACAGAAGCAACCTTACTGAATAACGCTTGATGACAAATATGAATCTATTCCAGCCATTAACCTGGCCTAGACTATACTGAAATCTTTGTGGTGAGTGAAATTTCTAGCATATGTAGGGAATTTTTTAACTTCTCAACAGAATCCACCCCTTTCTGTCTCTCAGCCCTCTCTCTTTTTGAATAATAATGTTATTGCTAAGCTTAAATATGGCTGAAGCAGTCTCTAGGATAGGAATAAGACTTGCAAATCAGGCTTCTAAAGACCTCTATTTTCTTATAGAGCAGAATAAATAATTGAGTAGAGAATTAAGGGAAAAGATCCAGGGACTGTGTGTGTTGTCCTGATATGTTGATGCTGAGCTCACAGGTCCCATAGTTCCCAGCCAACATAGTCATTGTTTATTCCAATGAACAGGAAAGGTGTATTGCTTCCTCACTTCCCTGCCCAGTCCTTTTACTGATCATTATGATTTAGAGGATTTGACTCTCTTCCTAAAGTATCCTGTTAGGTGAATAGTTTTGGTCTAGCTAGTTAATGGAAAGTGGTGCTTAGAGAATGTTGGACTATTTAAGCCGACTAGTGAGAGAGGTCGCGCAGGGGGGCAGAGTGTGATAGTAGTGTAAGGTCTGGTGGGGGGTGGGTCCCAGCTGGCGCTGAGAGCGCGAGCTGGTACGCGGGCAGGATCTTCCCTCATCTGGGAGTGTCTGGTTCTGAATGAGGATGTCTGATTGGGAGGAGGGACCTTTACTCCTGATTAGGGACCCCAAAGGTCCAGGAATGGAAGTACTTGGGCCTGGAACCCCTGGGGACTATGTGGTAGGCTACACTATCAAGGTGGTGACGGGCAGGGGACGATATTGCGGGAGCTGGAGGGCGGGCCATCTTTGGGGAAGACGCCCCCGGTGTGTGTTACCGGTGGCGTGTTCCGGCCCTCCTGGCTTATCCCCAGGCCCTGGTTAGCAGGTTCGTAGGGGCCCTGGTCTTCGGCTGCTGCTGCTTAATGCCAGGTCGGTTAACAACAAGGCCCCCCTCATATGTGACTTGATCACCGAGGAGGGGGAAGACCTGGCATGCATTACCGAAACCTGGCTGGGGCCCGAGGGGGGGTCCCCCTCTCGGAAATGTGCCCAACTGGGTTCATGGTGTAGCACCAGCCGAGATGGCAGGGGAGGAGGGGTGGCTGTTGTCATCTGGGACTCTCTGGTGGCCTTCAGGGGCATGGCTCCCCAAGTTTCTGGCTGTGAGACACTGTTCTTTAGGTTGGGTTCCCGTAAACAGTTGGGAGTTCTGCTACTGTACCAGCCTCCCTGCTGCATGACAGCCTCCCTGCCTGAACTGCTGGAGGCCATCTCGGGGCTGATGGTAGAGTTCCCCAGGCTTATGGTTCTGGGGGACTTCAACCTGCCATCCTTAGGACGGTCCTCAGAGGTGGCTCGGGAGTTCATGGCTACCATGGCAGCCATGGGCCTGTCTCAAATTGTGAGGGACCCAACCTGAGACAGTGGCCACATGCCGTATTTGGTCTTCTTGTTGGAGCAATGGCAAAGTGATCTGAGGCAAGATTTACAGCTTTCCCAGTTGTCAAGGTCAGATCACGTCCTCGTGACCCTGAATTTCTCCTACACCACCCCCCTCTGCAGGGAGGCTGGACCCATGCGATTGGTCTGCCCCTGGTGCCTGATGGACCCGTCAGGGTTTCAGAGGGAGCTGGGGAGTATTCCCATGGATCTGCATGGTCCAGTGGAGGCCTTGGCTGCTGCCTGGAATAGGGAGGCGGCTGGGGCCTTGGACAGGATCGTCCCTATGCGACCTCTCTTGCCACATCAGCCCCGACACTCCCCATGGTTTATGGAGGAGTTGAGGGTGCTGAAGAGGGTTAAGAGATGTCTAGAGCGCCACTGGAGGAAAACAAAGGCCGAATCCGACCGAACACAGGTTAGAGCCGCTATCAAGGCCTACCTTGTGGCAATAAGAGCGGCAAAGCACCTCTATTTCTCCGCCCTTATCGCGTCTGCAGAATGCCACCTGACGGCCCTGTTTAGGATCACTAGGTCCCTCCTTGGTAAGGGGGATGTGGGGGTTCATTTGCAGGGCCGTGCAGAGGAATTTTCAGAGCATCTTCAGGACAAAGTCACTCGGATTCATTCCAAGTTAGACTCCAAGCGTGGGCCAGGGTCCGGGGAGACACTGAGGGACTCTTCTTACCCAGTTATCTGGGAACGGTTTGATCCTGTTGCTCCTGAGGAAGTGGACAGGATCCTGGGGACTGTGAAGACCACCATTTTCCATCTT